GCTCTGATACCACTTGTAAAGTCCATATAGGTTATTAAAGTTATGCAAATGTCCCAATGCTAACTAAGAGGGGGGTGAATTGGTATTTTTTATAAAAAAAAAAAAATTCTTTTGGAAATTAAAGGAAAACACTTTTTGTTTTTTTATAAAAATAATTTTTCAACCACAAAATGTAAAATGCTGAAAAATAAAAATGCAGAAATAAAAATGAACATAAAGATTTATAGTGATTCGGTCCAATAAGACCTACGTCCACTCCTTGAAGACTCCTTCTTCAGGTATTGCACTATTACCAAAGTTACTCTCTTTTTACCCCCACAGCAAGATAGAGAAGCCTTTACAATTTTTTTCTCTTCCACCAATCCCCGGTGCAGTAGAGTATCGTCGTCCTTTCACACCCTCCAAGTGTCAGCAGAGTACCATCATCCTTTCACACCCTCCAAGTGTTAGTAAAGTACCGGATCTTCTTCAAAGATCTTCTCTCATGCAATTAGAAACAAGAAAGGAAGAGAAGTAATTAAAATACAAAAGAGATTCTTACCTTTGAGTAATCTTATGAACCCTTCACACTCAACTTGCAAGAACTCTCTCTCAAACACTCTTTTACATGATCTCAAACAAATCACGGAGAACAACACTGCTCAAGTCATTTTCTAAGGACTATTTATATAAAAGACACAAAAAATCAGATTGAAAACTAAAAAAATTTATTTTAAGTGTATATAATCATATAGTACGATCGTTAATCATATGTATGAATAGTTTAAAAATTGCTTCATATGAACCTGTACAAAATATTTTAATACATGATAATCATCCAATACAAACCATGTTCGTATTGTATGAATAATTAAGAAATTTTTTTTCCTTCATCAGGATGAAAAGATACCCCACATTTTTGTACTCTAGACGTCATATATATGAACTATGTATCATATAGTACGATTAGTATAAAAAAATTTGATGTTCATCGGGACGATAAGGAACCCGTTCTTTTCGTACTCTGGACGTCGTATATACGAAGGTCACTTCGTATAATATGATCAGTTTAAAATTTTTGAAATTTACCGTGACAAAAAGGAATCTGTTCTTTTCGTACTCTAGACATTGTCTCTACGAAGGTCACTTCGTATAGTACGAACAGTTCAAAAAAATTTAGAAATCATTGGGATGAATAGGGATGTATCTATTTTATACTCTGGACGTCGTTTGTATGAAGAATGCTTCGTACATAACGATCAGTACTTAAAAAAATTTTCTTTCCACAATTCATTTAATTGCTTGTAGGAGGAAATAATTGAACAAATCGTCCCATACAATTTTAAATCGTATAGTACGATTAGTTTAAAATTTTATAAATTTTAAATACTCCCCCTAGTATGTGTGTGCACGGTTACTCAATTACAATCACACTCTCTCAGACTCAATAAAAGTGAAAAATATAAACTCTATTTATAATAAACCCTAATCTATTCTCCCTTGAAGTCTTCAACAGTCTGGAGTATTATTTTCCTAAAATATTAGTACACACAAACAATAAAAATAATATAGTCAATATATGTTAGGAGAAATAGTAATGAAAATAATAATATTTAAAATCATCAAAAAACACACATGTTGCAACAATCTCAACAATCAAAAACTAAGTTGCAACAAACTCAACACAACTCATGTGATACATAATTTCTTATGTGAAAATTTGAAAATGGTAAACAGTCATAGGTCCCTTCCTAAATAAAATGATTCTACTAGTATATGTCATGGACTACAAATGATACATTTTCTTATTATTATAAAAAATAATGATACAATATAATATTGATTCTATGGTGGAAGTTGGAGAAGTCTTCAAGTATTGAAGTTATCTCTAATACATTATTTATGGTCTATTTGATCATTCTCTTTTGAGGAAATGAGATAATAGACTAAGAATTCAAGTATAAATTTTGATGTTGATGTCGAAAATTAGAGTCGATGCTAATGTCATGCATTAGATTTCTTGGCAGTGGTGTGAGTTGATGTTGTTATTAAAGGCAAGCATCAAAGTTGGTAAGCATCAAAGTTGGTATGCATCATCATTTGTGTTGATAGTGTGTATTTTTACCTTATAAGTAATGTTTTTCATCAGCACTGATGGTTACACTAGGTGATAAAATTGGCAAGCATTGGCATTTATGTCAGTAGGGTGCATCAGCCTTATAAACAATAATGTTCATGGATATTATTAGTGATGATGAGCATCAAAGTTGAAGAACATAGATGTTTTTATCAATAGTGTGTATTAATATAGGATGGTGTGCATCAATATTGTTAGAGATAACAAACATCAACATTTATGTTGATGGCATGCATCTACCTTGAAGGCAATATAATACATCAATGTTATAATAAACACAGTAAGCAAGAGATGTTAGTCGGAAAATCTTAGTTTATTGATAGTCATCAACATAATTAGGCAATAATGGTTGAGCAATAAAAGTCTGACAATGACAATTAGGTGATGGCAATCAAATAATGATGTATGGTTGCGATCATCAAGATCAAACATCGAGTTGAGCTCTAGAGTTTTTTAGATCTCTAAACTTGTTCCAATTTAAAGTCAAGGTTCAAGCTCTCCTTCATTTGAATAATGAAGATCATTTTATAATTTTCTAAAATGGAATTTTGGTAAATTTAGCTGAAACCTTCGAAACACTCCATCAAATTGCTCGTGTTGATTCTTGTAGTCGTAGATCATTCTTTTAACATTTAGATTCCGTAATGACCTTAGAATAGCATGATCTTGTGTTAGTTTGATTCATCTAATTGAGATGCTCTTTCTGATCATAAGCATGCGAGATTTGTATTTTTGTCATTCAATTAATATCATAAAGTTTCAACTATTTTTCAAGCCCTTGATTTAAGCTCATTTGCTCCACCTTTAGTATTCATCTTATCAAAACATTTGTTGAAATCTAAATTCAGATGATTTTAAATTTAATTTGGATAATTTTTTTTATGAGATATCAAAAGGAAAAAAAAAAGTAAGGCTTAAACAAACTGATGAACTCAACTTAATTTAAAGATGCCTTGTGGTCATAATGAAAGCAACAGAAGATATCTCATTAGCTTCTCAAGCAAATCAGAAGTGGCAGCCAAGATAGAGCCAAAGGTGATAATTATCAACTTTAATGGCTATGAAAGAAGGAGATAATGATGGATGATGGCTCCTACCTTTGCCACACAATAACATAACAGGTGGTGGCACCGATTGTGATGGGAAGAACCAGCAAGCAGTGGCCTAAATGCAACAATAAGTATATAATAAATGTGATGAAGTGACTGGCAATAATATCAGATACAGATGCTAGCTCCAAGAACAAGAGGTTTATATTCTTCTTTAAGGCTGTTGCCATCCTCTTCATCATTTGAGGGGATTGGGGATTTCCTCATTGATCCTTCATCAATCCAAGAAAAGAATGGTGATAGCTAAATTATCGCAAACCCGTCATTTGGGATGATTCGAACTTCGATCTGTTAATTAGAATACAACATAGTTGCACACATATCTTCTATTCATTTGACTGTTCATCTCACTGTGATCGTGATCTTTATTTGATCAAATGTTTTTTTTTTTTTTTTGGTTTTCAACTTTGGTCCATTTTTTTTTGTGGTTACAATCTTCGCTCAATTATGCATCTCATTGCAGTCGCGAGTTTAGTTCATTTGTGTGCCTTCCACTATAAATAAGATCTCAATTAAATCATGTCTCTTATCACTGTCACAACTATCGTTCGATCAATCATGACCTACTAACGCTTGATTTAGGTAATTATTGTTTTAAAAAATAAATTTTTTGGACATGAGAGAGAGAGAGAGAGAGAGCTTAGCCATTATTGAGCTTAAGAAGGTGTGTGAATTTGATTCAACAGATGAGGAGTTTCCTTATCAACAAGAATCATCTGAGGTCATTTTCCCAAATATCAGGAACGAGCTTTCAAAACCTAACAATTCTTCATTGCTTATATGAACACTATAACGAGCAACTCTTTGTGATTATTTTTTTATTACTAAAAAAATTAAGGGGAAAAAAACATTGTAGCTCACAGAAATGAGAAAAAAATAAATAAATAATACACACATTCCAATCAGTTTGAATTTAATTTTTTTTTATCTTAAAATAAATTAACTACAAAGTATATTAAGTTTATATATTTATATTAAAATTCAAAAAAAAAAAACTTTGGCAATAATATGACCAAAGATTCAATTTTTATTCAAAAAATAGTTTAATTTGAGCATTGAAGTGAGAGATGCATTAGGATTACTCAATTTAGACAAGTGCTAATGATCTGATACCATCTGAGAATAAAAAGAAGAGAAAAAATTATGATTTTTTTTAATAAAAAGATTATTAAGCCATTTATTTATTTATTTATTTTTCTCTAGAGGTTGAGCCATATAGACTATATTAAAAACTAGTATAATATGTGCCATCACATTTAAATATAATTTGTCTAGAGAAATGTAGCAATATTTAGGTTTCGTTTGGGAAAAAATTATTCTATGTGGACACCGGATCATTCGAAGGCGAATCAGAACGCGCCACGTCACGAAATACACAACAGGTACACAACTGTGGTACACAACAAAGGGATGACATGACATGCTCTGATTTGCCTCCGAACAGCATTCGGTGTCCGCACAGAATAATTTTTCTCGTTTTGGACGGCTTCTTACTATTTTTAAAAGCCATTCATTTTTGTACTATAAAGCTGCTTTAAGAATCAGTAAAAAAGCTCCCACAAACAAAACCTTAATCAAAATAGTTGAAAGCAGCAACTGAATACTGTCAAAAGCAATTTAGAAGAAAGAAATGTCATCAAACTACCTGATTTTCTGGCCATAGATCCTCCACACATGCAAACAAAAATCAAAGGGAATGTCAATTCCACTGCACTGCACCAGACACCTGCAAAGGTAATCAGCAAGTATGCTTATTCTGCCAGTTCAATCATTGCTTTTAGAAGTAATTCCTTTAGAATTTAATCATTTCTAAGCTTCCTCATTCATTTTTCTCATTTATAATATCTATGCAAACAAGTACAAGAAAATGCAAGCTTTTCAAGCAGGTAGAATCACCATTACCACACTCTGAAATACTCACCTATTATAAACCATTAATTCTTTCACATATTCTACTAAACATAAATGATAACAAAAGCTATTGTCAGGAATGATAGTTTACAAAATCCTCGGAGATGGATCAGAGCTACCCATATTTTGGTGCAATTCTGTAGTAGTAAAGCCATCAAAGTCAACAGATGAAGCAGCTTTCCACTTTGTTCTTCTATAGACAAATTTTCTCTCCCATTATAATCTAGCCTTCCTATAGGAAAGATTTGATACTGTATGGAGCTGTATTTTTCAACCACTGATAGCCATCTCGTTCTGATAAATTAACAAGCCAACAAAACTACCTCCTTTGCCATATTAAGGCTTGAAGTGAAGCTAGTTCCAGGTTGATATTAGGACTATTTCAGCGGTTGATTATGAAGACGAGTAATCCATTTACAGAGCAATTGACATGTCAGGGAGAGGGCTTCCAATCAAACTGCATATTACTGAAGCTGTTAACTGATTCAAGTCCACCCAGCAACCGGCTTTCCATGTCCTGTTGCTGCTGATGACTTATTGCAGATGAATCCTGAGTCAAGTGGTTCATTCCAACTCTATTCAAAGCATTATTAGCCATGGTTGCCTTCAACCCGCTCGAACTAACTGATGGGCCAATCCCTCCCATAACGCCAAACCCGATGCCGCCAACTCCAGAATTGCCACCGAGACTGTTGGTAATTCCATTGCTTCCATTTAGACCAGTAGGAACAGAATTAATCCTCTTCATGTCATTCCCCATGGCGCCGACACCATTTAGCTGAGAAGACATCATAATTTCATTCCATATTTGCTGTACTGAACTCTGCGAGTCGGTTAAGTCGGGTTCGCGGGTTTGAGTCACCTGCTGCTGCATTGCAGGCATATTGGGTGTCAAGGTGAGGGGATTCAGACGAGAGTTATGAGTAGCAGGAATCATAGTGTCACTGGAAGTTGGCGTCGGAGATAAAAGAGATGATGATGGATGGGGTTGGCATGGAGGTATTGAGTTGGAAGAGCTTGCTGAAGGGATTTGGACAGGATTCCCACCACCATACATGTTATTAGAGCTATTCATAAGATTTTCTTGCCTGGAGTTCATTGAATTTTGATGGAGAAGGCTAATAATAGAAGTTCCGGAAGTCGAGGTTAATGATGGCGCATTGAGGGAATTGTTAACAACTGCTACACCATTGTTACTGGAAACTATACCCGTTCCATGAGAATTCAAAGAATTTTGATCGTTTTGGCTAGAATTCTGCACTACATTTTGTTGAGTACCTTGTGGCTGGGACTGTTGAGAATGTAGGCCTGAAGAATTCCTTTTAGGAAAGTTGATCAAGCTATCTGAATAACAAAAATGAGCAGAACATATCATTGATAAGAAAAAATAAGCAGAAATTAAATTGCATAACAAAATGATATACTCATATAAATCTTGATAGTAGTCAAGATATAACCAAGAAAGGTCCAGCGCAATCACCTGAACTCAGTTTTTGGCACAGTCGGCATTACCACACTCAAATTTGAAAATTGCTAATATTTTCAAATAAAATTTCAATATCATCAAGCAAATCATGTTCCACAAATCCGCCGAAAGAATACAAAAAACAAATTATTAACCGAAATAAACCAATTAAAGTTTCGAAAGTCATGGGATTGATTGTGCACTGTAACAACCTCTAATGTTAGTAGCTGGGAGGGGAACAGAAGCAAGAAGAAGAAAATATAGGAGGATATAAAGTGAAAGGGAAGCCGTAGGAAATATTAAGGTAGACTGGAGGGGAGAATGAGGAAGAAAGTGACAGAGGTAAATGATGTAAGTGGAGTAGAGAAGATGAGAGAAGAAGAGAATAGAATATGAAGAGAGAAATTGGTTCCAATAATAGTAAGTACATGTGCCAAAAGCTACCCTAATAATGTGCAAACAAGATCCAATGGAAAAGGAACAGGCAAAAATTATGGTACCAAGGGGATGAGAGCTAGTCGTGGTATGTACAAGGCTGAAATTTAATTACACCAATAGCCTGAAATTTCATGTATTGACTAAAAATCCGTTAAGTCGTACTATATGCTCAAATCCTGTGTGGAACTGTCAGGTGAGTCATATATGTTGTGATAGTTGAACCTAAGCATCATGACATAGCTTTTTTCTTTCACACTTGAGCAACCATTTTGCCAACCACTTCATTATTTGACTTCGACATCATAACTGATCTCCAATCACAATAACATCACCACCACTCATTCTCCTAAAAGTATATACCCCCAACCTCTCTTCCCCTCTCCATAATTAATGCTCCAACTCCATTAATGAGCCTTGAGACCACCCCCCCCCCCCCCCCCCAAATACAAAACACACACATACACACCTTTTCCTTCTACTCTTCTTTGGCGCCCCCGCCCCCTGATTTCACTTATCATTTCTATATATAGCGGTCATATTTCATGATATGCAGTTTGATGATCATTGAATGAAATTTGAGCTTTCTTTTAAGTAAAAAAAAAAAACTATTACCAATCTCCTAGAGTACTTTCCCCATCAGTAAATGACCTCTTAAGTGAGTGAGCACACACCCTATGGAGAAGAATTTCCAAGTGACGATAAGATATACACAGAATGAATGATTGTGGAGATCTTCAAGGTATTATTGTTCCTTCATTGGCTTTGTTAAATCCCTTGAGATTAGATATTTTCCTAGGTTTGTGTTTCTATTTACAATCATAAGGCTATAAATGTTTGTGGAGGTCATCTTCAAGTTATTATCATTCCATCATTGTCTATGTTAACTTACTTAAGATTAGATCCTATTCTAGCTTGGTGTTTTCTTTTTACAATCATAAGGCCAGAATAGTTCGTTAACAACGAAAATCCCTATTGTCCATCTTCAACTTCATTAGTTCTATTGATTCATACTAGTAATCAACTAAGTTAAAAGACTTCATGGCTAATTGAGTTTGAATCCAACAACCATGTGAATTTCACCTTCTGCATCAAATTTTAGATTTACAATCATGCTGCATCATATTTGATATCAGAGCAAATTTCTATACTAGAGAATACTGCTTGCGTGTTGAATTTCTTATCAAATTCTGTGTCATCTTACTAGTTGAATTTAAAAATAAGAAAAAAGAACTCATTTTGCGTGAAGCTATGTGGTGTGATTTAAAATATATGTGAACTCACTACAAAGTTGTTATGTTGATCCAAACCCGTGCCCAAACAAATGCAAAGATTTTTAAACTTTGGCATATTTTTACATTTTTTGCTCGATCTTCCTACAATAACTTTCTTGTTTCTGATCTTATTCTTGCATTAACTCATCAACTCAAAATTCATTTACATTTTTCAAATTTTTGGCAAAATATCATATTTTAAAAAACTGAAGCAAAGTCACAAAACTAATAACTTATGGAGCCTAATTTATGCCCCGATAAAGAAACACCTTAAGCAAACTCAACTATTGACTGGAGATTTTACATTATTTTCAGCTGTGCTAATTTGCAACGGTGGAAACAAGATGCAGCAATCAATTGGAAGAATCTTAGTTGAATGTTTGTTGAATGTTTCTCAAAATGGCTACGTGAGTGAGAACAATTTTTTATTTTTCTTCTTTTCCCTGTTTCTATATTTTTGTTTCTACTTTTCTTTGATTTAAATATATAATATAAATATATTTATATGAATATAGAGAGAGAAAGAGAGCATAATAAAAAGCTAGACAAAGTAAGGAGAGAGAGAGCGGAGATGGAGATTGAGGGAGTTAGAGAACAGAGATATCTCTTTATTTCGAGAGTAAGAGGAGAGAATTTAAAGAGAGATTTAAAAATAGAGAGAAATAATCAGATTTCTCTCTGTTTAGAGAGAGAGTGAGAGCGGTAAGGAGAGTAAATGGTGGTAGGTGGGATATTTTGGAGTTCCCAAAGGTCGGTCGACCGACCAGCAAGCTGTAGGCGGCTTGTGGTGTGAAAAGTAGCAATTTAGCCTAAGTAATGTTTCATTGATGGATCTCCTAATGGAGTAATTATTGTGTTCGGATACCGAACGCGTCCAGAGACCAATAACAAAGCACCACATCACTTGGGCGCTCGGTACCGTGCTCAGTACAGCACTCGGTATAACTCGGTATTTTCGATATTTTGTCCGGACATAATAAAAATTCCTCCTAATGGGTAGGTAAAGAAGTAATAGTCGATGAAGAAATGTGGGTGGAGATCAGATGGGGTAAAAGCTCATGTTGGTTTATTTCTAGTCTTGAAGGGTTAGGGGTTGACAAGTTGTTTTTCTAAGCCAGCGAATGGCCAGTGGCTTACGTCACAAGCGTCTGCATGATTAGACCTGTCAATTTCGGGTTACGGGTCGGGTTCGGGTCAACCCGACCCGTTTTTGTAAACGGGTCGATTTTCCAGACCCGAACCCGACCCGCTTGGGGTTCGGGTCAACCCGACCCGACCCGCGGAAGCCTCCTCCCGTCCCGGCAAGGCCTCGTCCGCTAGTCCGCTCCTCGCGGACCTCGCCTGCGGACGCGGGACGTGGCGTGAAAAGGCGGACCTTGCCAGCTTGCCTGCGGACGCGTCCTCGGTCCTCGCGGCTCGCTGCGGACGCGACTCAGTCCTCGCGGCTCGCCTGCGGACGCGTCCTCGGTCCTCCGCCGCTCCGCTCCGCTCGGACCGCTCCAGCGCTCCTCGCCTGGGACGTGATTTGATTAGAGGCGAATCAAAAAATGCAAAGAGGCGGAACAGCGGGCAAAGAGGGCAAAGAGGCGGAATAAAAAATTTTAAGTTAAACGGGGTTTTCGGGTTGACCCGGCAACCCGTCGGGTCAACCCGAACCCGAACCCGACCCGTTTTTATAAACGGGTCGGTTTTCCGAACCCGAACCCGACCCGCTTCGGGTTCGGGTCAACCCAAACCCGAAAATTACGGGTCGGGTTCGGATCGGGTTTTCGGGTCGGGTCCAATATTGACAGTTCTATGCATGATCAATAGTGGTTTGAGGCATGCGTACTAGAGAAAATAAGAAAGACAATCATATATTATAATTGTGTGAGGCCAAAAGTCACGTGAGTTGTAGTTGTGGTCGGAAGGTGCATGAGTAGATATCCATGGATGCTTGTCTTCACATGAGATAAAGGAAAAAGGAGGAGTAGGGTGTTGGTCGTTGAAGAACAGGGCAGTGCTACTTGAGCATTTAGATTTAGAATACTTTTTTTTCATTTCCTTAAGAAAAGACCTAGACCTGGATGGGACGAGATGCAGCATAGGAAAGATAAGGGGGTAGTTTTGAAATATAAGCAGTTATTAGATCGAATAAGATTTGATATATCTCTCTCTCACATACATACATACATATATATATATATATATATGAAATTGGTTATTATTTATTTTTTAAATTAATTAAAAAATAATAATTATGAATCAACAACCTTCGTATAATTACATTTTCCTTATGTATATCAAATCGCATGTCATCATCTCTCGAGCAAGGAAATTTTTTATCTCGCTCGCGCAACAAACCATAAAATATGGGTATCATTTCCAGGTGATTTCGGCAGTATGGGCAAGTTGGCAAAAGTTCATTTCACAAGCAAACATTCAAGAAACTTTGTGCAAGGTCGCATCTGCAGTCTGTCATTTTTTACTGCATTTGCTCAAGTTGCATGCAAGAGGTCCTTATTTGGCAAATTCGATGTTCTCAATATGCTAGCACAATCCGTTTCATAAATGAACACCGTTCGAGTAGTTTTGTGCAACACCGAGACATTTCAAATTAGCTACACGCGACGTTGCAACAATTAGCCACCGTCCAAGTATTAAGATTTCTTACATGTGACGAAGTATAGTTTAAACACTGTTCTAATCACACACACTTAAATTGATTATGAAATATATATTGAGGTCAACAATCTTCAAGTGTAACGTCCTAGCTCCCATGGTCATCTACAAGCTTCATGGTTAACAAAAATTCAACCCTCCTATGAATATCCATGCAAAGGTGATGGAAAACTTAGGGCTCGTTTGATTAGACGTTTTTCCTCCTTTCTCCATTTGGATACGCCAAAATCAGTTACCGAGAACTGTTTGGAAACAAAACTTAACTGTAATTACTTGTCAATAAACATTATTTTTTCGGCATTTACGAAATTTTTTCTTTGTCTGGTTATTAGTTCCCAAATCACTGTTTAAGATGCAAAATGTCCAAATTAACCCATCCACGTTCCCACGTTAAATCACAAATTAGCATCCTTTGTCTTCTTTAGCGGGTCGCACGAGGAATTACCTTCGTTTCTTCTAATATCACTCCATCTGGAGGACTCCCTAATCGCATGTTCTTCCCACACTAG